TAGGATTAGAGGTTCCATTTGACCCAGCTATCCCTCTGCAGGGTATCTTTCCAAAAGAATTAAAAGAATCATATCACAGTGATATATGTGCACCTATGTTTATAGCAGCACAGTTTGTAATAGCTAAAACTTGGAAATAGCCCATTTGCCCATCAGTTGGAGACTGGATAAAGAAGATGTGGTTTTTCTAGAAAATGGAATACTACTCAGCCTTAAAGATAGAGAAATTATATTCATTCATAGAAAAATGGATACATATTGAGGATATACTCTTAAGTGAAATAAATAAGAAGTTACACATGTATAAATACTGAATAGTTTCTCTGGTGTGAAAAACTATAATGGTACGTAAGATCCTAATCATATAATTGACAATGTAAAATTGGAAGAAAAGGGCTAAAGGTGTAGGGGAAATGGGAAGGGTAGGGGAAAGGTAATAAGGGAAAAGGAAAAAAAGAGAAAATGAAAAAAGGGAAATAAAGTATTTGTAAATAGGGAAGGGAGGAGGGAGTGAAGGGAGGGCAAGGATGAGGGGAAAAATGAGAACCAAGACCTCTCATGTAAAGGTACAAGGTCCCAATGATGAATGTGACTGTACTGTATACCTAAAATGTACCAATAAACTCAATGAGAGAAAAACAACAACAACAACAACAACATTTAGTGCTGTGAAAGCTTAGGGCTGAGAGCTTCCATTGTGTGTTTCTCCAGCACACACATTTGGCCCGAGTCACGCTGGTGTGTGGTCACACCTACAACCACTCCATAATGCGCTGAGCTTTTTTAGGGCAGGGCCTGTGCTGTATTCTTCTCTGTACCTCTAGAGCAAGCAGGATACTTAGTATTTTGTAGGTGCTCATTCTTTACTTTATAGAAATAATGTAGATGCTCATGAGGGAGTGGAAATTCCAAGTTTATAAATGCAAAGTTATAATTTCCAGTAATTTACACTTTATCAAACATTCCTACCCACAAGGCAGGCATTATCTCTAGATTTAAAACTTTCTAAGTATACTAGATCATTTGAAGTTATTCCTGGGGCAGGTTTAGTTCATACACTGAGTTCTGAATGCAGCACCAATTTTGGTTCTTTACCCTTCTCTCTTTACTCCTTCCATGGTACTCAAACAGCCCTCAGGGTCAAGTTCACTGACAGTAGCCAAGAACTGCCCCCCACTCCCCAGGTCACACAGAACAAGACAGTTTGTCTTCTTTGGAGCTAAGTGAGTTTCGTTCACATCAGAAGGGGGAGAGAAGAGGTTTAGACAGAGGAGCCCAGATGGCTCAGTGCCCCTAAAAATAGCAAGGAGGAAATCCCCTCTCCTCCTGTCCAGCAGAGCAGGTGGAAGTCTGTGGTTTGTGATGTCAAAGATGATGCCAAGGGTGCCACACATGGTGGCAGGTGGCCTGGCAGGACAAACAGAAGGGGTTTAAGCCACAGTCCACATGGATTGTAGCCACACACAGAAAGGCTGGGAGGCAGGTCTGAAGGAAGGCTGTTAGTTGTAGGTGTTGATGCCACCAGTCCTTGTCCTTAATTCAGCCCAGCGAGGTGTGGGGATGTTTCTCATCCATAAATGTATCTCCATCTCTAGTGACCCATCTGTAGTGACATTTGACTTTTTGCAGGAAAGTCAAGTGTGGTTGCTGGGATGTATGCCACAGTGAGATGAGTCTTTCAGATGTTATTCCTTCTCCTCCTTCCCTCCCACATCTTCCCCAAGAGTTCAGGGGATCTTACCCTCCCTCCTGGTGCCTTGTTTTGCTTATTTCCCCAACATGCAGGATAGTCCTAGTGTCTCTCCTGGGCTTCAGATTAGGAGGCGCTCTTTGAGGCTGGGGAACTGGTCTTACTTTCTTGTCAATACCCGAAACGTCCCACAGTCTGAGTACACAGCCGGCACTCAAGAACTGTCAGTTGAAAAACGAGCTTAGAAGTAACTGTGCAGACGTGAACACTGCAGACGGACACGGTGGCGAGGTCTCTCCACCCCAGCGCAGGGGCTGGCTCACTAGGAAGTGCTCCATCTCCAACAGCACATGCTGGCCTCTTGCCTTCTCCTGAAGAGCGCACCCACTTTGTGAGGGACCTAACCAGTGAGTTCTGGACAGAGACTCTGAGAGAACTGTCATCTCAGCTTAGGCAAAAGGTCTGTGCAGAATTCTATGGACAGCCCGAGACTCGGGAGCATCTCAGGTTGTCTCTGGCTTATATATGGCATGTACTCGAAGTTTGTTCAGTGCATACAAATAAGAGAAAGCAAAAAGAGAAACTCCTTCTCATTTAAGTGAAAGAATAGATTTTTATACGTTGCCCACTCGTCATGTGCATTGCTGGGTTGAGCACCCTGAAAGACAGGAGGAGAGCGAAGGTACTACCGCCAATAGCTACTCTCAGTACCTGGAGTCCCTGCCTTTGTCCTTCGATGGATCTTTGTTTCCCTCTGGTGGTGGATGTGTGCACTGCAATGTTCGGTTCTGAGGCTCCAACTAGGTCAGCTCAAAATTTGCAGAGTCCTTAAGAGGTCCGTGACTACACTATTCCCCCACCTGGAATATTTTGATATATTTTGGGGAGCCTCTGTAGTCTCTACAAGATAAAAATTAGTTTGGATTTTGGCGATAATCTAAATAAACATAATTATACTCTGGGTTATGTGGATGACTACTTTCTAATCACAGCCTGCCTTGTAGTTCTGTTTTCACTTTGGCAAAGGCTGTGGCTCCAGTTACTACGATGGCTCAAGGAGCACGGGTTGCTGCCGCAGGAGAGGCTTTGCGGCTTGGAAAGAGTACAAAGCATGCGGTAGCGTGAGTGTGCCCAGAGCAAACTGCCAGTTCCACGTCCAGTGGGGAGGGGCAGTGTGGTGCCATTCTCTCCTGCAAGAATTTTGCCAACTGATTTCTAGTGACTTTTGTGTTGCTATAATTTTTAAAATGTGCTTTGCTGACAGCGTCTCTCTTCAACGCAGGGGGTATGTTCCAAGACCCTTATTATTGTATTCCTGAAGTAACAGATAGTACCAAGCCCCATAAATATATTATGGTTTTCCATACTTATATGAGGTGTGATAGAAATGTACATGTTTAATTGTAATAAAAAAATTTGTTAAAGTTGCTATGTCTTGTGTCTAAATGACTCCCCAAAGCTTTATGCACTCATTGATGGGGCTTTTTGGAGGTGGCTGGACCATGAACATGTGGTGCTGGACTAGGGTGGATTAGGGTGTGTGATACAGAAATTAAGGGTGTGTGATGACTAAGTTGACTTAGCAAAGTTCGGGCTGTGAATACTGGAAGCCCCCACCCTGGGTGTGGGTGGCACCAACCAATAATAGGCTTGTAGCCTGGATGCAATATAAAGGGACAGAAAGAAGTCAGGCTCTTTTATTGCTGCCTCCTGCCTGACATGCTCTGGACTGTTTGTTCTCTGCCATGTCTTTCTGCCATGCTGGGCTCCCTTGGAACCAGTCAACTATGGGCTGAATCTTCTACAAATTATGACCTGAAATAAACCTTTCCTTCCCTAACTTGAAGGTGTTGGGTATTTTGCCTCAGCATTGGGAAAGTAACTAAGATAATAGCAAAAGATATATCGCCACAAATCCCCTTCAAAATCCTCCGCCTCACTTTGAACACATTTATCCCATCATTCTTGCCCCTTTTTGAAGCAGTTCTGGAAGTCCCCTCATGAAAGTCTTTAGCGGTACAGTCATGGCTGCTTCCATATCCTGGATCCATTCAAAACATTTATCTTTCACGGTCATTGTAACTTTGGAGAAGAGCCAGACATCACAAGGTGCTAGGAGGTACTAGGTGAATAAGGATGATGATGATACACGGTAATGTTTGTACGAGCCTGCCTTTCCATTGGGTGGCACTTGGCAGCCATATTCCATATGTGTGTGTGTATATATATATAATATATATATATAATAAACAATATATTATATAATAAA